TATTTTTATGTGGTGCTGAGGATCGAACCCAGCGCCACATGCACGCCAGGTAAGCGCACTACAACTTGAGCCATATCCCCAGCCCAATACTTCATTTTTTTTTAAAAAAGTCACTATCAAGCAAAACTTTCTCATGTTCTGACCCTGAATCTATCTATCATTCACTGCCTTTCTTTGTATTACTAGAAATTATATGTTCATGTTTGTATCTGAAGCCAATACTTTTACTATATTCCCTGTGTGGTATCCCCTCATTTTCTCAAAGACACACACCTAAAGTATATACATTCTCTCACACCATTCATCCCTCCACCCCACCATTTATTGGATCATTCATATTATAAAAAAATAAGCTTTTGTATCCCCATCTTTAATAACCCTTCTCTGACCCCACATACACTTCTATTCTCTCCACTTGTCAGCTCTCCAATGTAAATTATCTTGAGATGTCCACAGTGCCAAGTCCATTTCATCACACTAAATTTTATGTTCATTGTACTATCAAAGCATATCTATGATATGTTGCCAAAATCTAACATGAAGATCTCTTTATTTTACTCAATCTCTCAGCATGATTCAATGCCATTGACCATGTTTTATTGTTTTGGCTTTTATGACACCACACTCTTTTGGTTTTCTTCCTCTTTTACTGGATACTCTTTCATCTGCATTTTCTTCTCCTAATCACTGAAATGTTCCCTGGTTTTAGGTAGTTTTTCAACATGCTAGTGACTTCTTTCAATCTCTGCTCCCTTGCCCTCTTCACAGAACTAAAGACTTAAAACTTACCTTAGATTTCTAATAATGATGTAAAAATTAAAGCAAGCAAAATAAAATACCTCCCCTCCCTTTTCTTCCCTAGTCTTTTTCATTTGGTAAGTAGCACAACCATCTACTCAAGCTCAAGACAAAACTGTACAAGCTAGAAGTGACTATTTCCTCACCCCTGTTTTCAAAATATCACAAAATCTGTAGGCTCTGTCTACAAAACATCCATTATCTTTTCTGCCACTTTATCCCAAACTTCTTTCATTGCTTCTTGGATATCTAATTATCTTGTGTTACAAATTTCACTCCCCATCCCCTATGATCTGTTCACGGCAAAACAAATCTTTTAACAATGTAAATCAGATTATATCACTCCCACAATACTCACTACCCGTTTCTCATCCTGCTAAATAACTTCCAAACTTATTTCATGAGTAAAAAGTCTATTCAAATCCCTACATGATTTGGTCCCTACCTATCTCTCCAAGTTTACTTTGTACCACTTTCTGTACATTCCAGTTACAGCCAATTTTTATCATATTCTTCTAAGAAGCTAAGTTCATTCCTATTTTAGGCCTATACCTGTGATGCTCTGATCCTTAATATTTTCATGAGTGGCTTTTAAATTATATATATATATATAAATAAATATATATTTAATATACACAAATATATATTATATATTTAATATACATAAATATATATATTAATGTATATATGTGCATATATTTATATATAAATGTTATATATATATATATATATATATATATATATATAAAATCTCACTGAGGTTTCAGCACAAATGCCACCTCTTCAGAGAGGACTTCCCTAAGCAAGTCTTCCCTCAGTCTCACTTCACACTATTTTACTTCTTCACTGCACCTACCATTATCTAAAAGTCCTTGTTTATATATTGTTTACCTATTTATTTTTTTCTTTACTATAATTTAAGACCCATGAGAACATGGATTGTGCTATTCTTTCTTAGTATTTTACTCACAATAATTAAAATAATACCTGGAAAAGTAGGAGAGTCTCCAAAAGTGTTTGATAAATGCTTGTGCCTAAGCATGTTGGCTTCTCTATTTGACACCCATTTGTAGATTTACTAATGTCTGACTTAGTCCAGAATACAACAGTGGATAAATAATGGCTCCTTGGGAAGCCTATCCATTAATTCCATCAATAAATATTTACTGACTATATATTCCACTATGTTCCAGGTACTGTTCAACCTTAGTGTTTAGTTCCCTTCCCAGCAAAATGGGATTTTATTAACTACCTATCTTATGGAAATGTATAAACAGGGTGATTGTGAAAGTAAAAGGAGAGCTATATGTATGGTACTTTATCTATTACTCTTATGCACCTGCCTCTTTCCTTTGTCTGGTAACAGAAACTTATGACAAAAGTCAACTAAAAAGTAGCATTATAAATTTTGGGTGGGCTCGGGATGTGGCTCAAGTGGTAGTGTGCTCGTCTGGCATGCGTGAGGCACTGGGTTTGATCCTCAGCACCACATAAAAGAAAATAAAGATATTGTGTCCACCTAAAACTAAAAAATAAATGTTTAAAAAAAAAATAAAAAAAATAAATTTTGGTATTCACAGAAGGTAATAAATATGAACATCTTTTTCATAGACACATAGCAATGAAATGTTTGGGGAGTGAATCCTCTATCTGTGATAGTGATGCTTAACTTTTTACATTTCTCTCGCCCCAAAATAATTCTATTTAAAATTATGAAAAATCAGAGATTGTGCCACGTGGCTTCCCTAGATGCCAGCCTAGCCAATCGCCACTCCCCACAGCCCAATCTCATCTTTCTTAGGCTCTGTCCGGGCCTGGTGTGATCTTGCATAACTGTTATAAAACTTCTGAATGATGTGCCTGACACCATTTGTGTGCAACAACTGTTCTTTATCCTTCAAAAGCACTGATTTTCAGTGCTAGTCCACTGTGACAAAGCCAAGGAGAACAGCAGGGTTGGGACATTCTCAGGATCAGCAACAAATGCTGAACCCTTCTCCACATCTCTCATCACTGGAGCATGGAAGGTTCGTTTGCAAACATTCACCATGAGTAATAATAGTCTACACTTAATAAAAAGTTTTTGATGTCAAATCTTGAGTAAAAAGCCTTTCTTGTAAGTACTTGGAAGAGGAGAAAAAGAAAACAGAGGAAGGGCCAGAAAAGGGACATGTGCGTTGAGTCAGGGAAAGGCCTGGAAAGGTGTATTTCCCCAGCCGCCTGGAGCCCATATGTCTAAGGGAAAATTTGTTCTTTGGGGCTACGGAAAGGGAAATATCGGTGGGAGAAGGCCTGGAAAGGGAGAATCCAGAAGAATGGGCGTACCTACAACTTGTTTGGCAACCCTCGCCGGCCCAGGCGCCCAGCAACGGTTGAGCAGTCCACGCGCCTCACGCTGTGGGGCGGGGCCGGCGGCGGTCGGAGGCGGGGCCATCGGCGGTCGGAGGCGGGGCCGGCGGCGGTGGGGGGGGGGGCAGAAAATAAAGGGCGGGGCTGGCGGCAGCACGTTTCAGTGACATCCCAGCTGTCTTGATTCCTCCAGTGCCCTGTGAGTTTATTCGACCCTTTTCTTTAGATGACTTCTGAATATTGACTTATCAAGTTTTAAAAGTCCAGAAACAAAGTTGACACCATTGGGCATTTTAGCCAGGAAGCAGTGCCTAGGATTGCAGGGGCCAAAAGTATACCTTGTCAGAATTCTGATTGGGTTTTCTCTGACCTGAAATTAGCTTAAGTATGCCAAAGAGTAATACAACATAGTCTCTGTAGTTAGTGCTACCTGGGTTCAAAGTTCAGTTCTGTCACTTTCTACCTGTGGGATCTAGACGAAGACATTATTTTCTTCTTGACCTTGTTTTCTCATCTGTAAAGGATGTTGTGGTGTTGGTTTGAGTACAAATGAGAGAAGGCAAGTATCTGAGACAGGGTTTGGTACAAAGAAAACAATATTCTGTTATCAAAATAAAACCTTTTTATTTTTTGCTCATGAAATCTTATGAGGAAATTTTTAAATGAAATCCATTTTGGTTGAAGGTGGGTCCAGAAGCTTTGGGGTTTGTGTACACACAGTGGTCCATCAAGTTCCTCTAATGGAATTCCCAAGCTTCCTAAAATAGTTGAAAAACCACTGTTATTGAAGAAAGTCCAAAACTTTTAGAAAGACAAACTGTTCTTTCCTATCTAACTTCTGACAATCAAAACAAGTTTTACTACTTAACACTGTATTCTATTTTTTGTAACATTGTATTCTATTCTATGTTTTTTCCTAAAGTTATTTTGTACTCTGGGAATGTTCACTTTCTCTTTTTCATATTTAAGTTTGTTATGGTAGATTCTAAATATCCCCCCAGAGCCCATATGCTAATAGCTTGGTTGCCAGTCCGTGGTGCTTGCTATTAGGAGGTTGTAGAAATTTGAAGATGTGGAAGTTAGGGGAAGGAAGTTGTCAGTGAGAGCAAGCTATTAAAGGGAATGCTGGGACCCCTACCCTTTTCCTGGTTCTGATTTTGCTTCCTGGCCTTGAGGGGAGCAGCTTCTCTGCCATAACATTCTGCCTTATCACAGATCCAAAAGCAGTGGGACCAACTAACTATGGACTGAAACCTCTGAAATAGTAACCCCAAATAAATGTTTCCTTCTTACAAGCTGATTATTTCAGGTATTTTGTACAGTGAATGAAAGTGAGTAACACAGGGTCTGACTCAAATTGCATCTCTTTCTTGAGTGACAATAAGAACCCATCTTTATTATAGCACCTTCAACATGGTGTAACTTTCTCAGCAAGGATTGGAATTATTTTCTCTCTCCCTTTACAAAGTAGACAGGGTCTTTGTCTTAGGGTAAGGTAATGACTTGAGCCTGTGGGAAACACAGTTATATCCCCAAGGATATTGGAAGGAGGAATACATGGCAGAGCTGGGAGGAAGAACCTGTCCCAGAAGCCTGATGGATACAATAGCACTGCTCTGTGCTTAAGACTCCTGGAGATCTGAGTACTTTAGGATCCATGTGAGGAAGATGAAGGGCACATCAACAAATGCACTTTGAGAATTTCCACCAGGTCAGTGCTAGGCTAGATTTAAGTTGAATGAGTCATCTAAAACAGGTGGTATTTCTTGTTTCCAAAATGGCATGAAGCAATTTCCCCTGTTACAGAGAACTATATAAATGATTTATATGGAAAATATTCTGAGACATTTAAATAGTAATGTCTTTCATTTATTTGAAGACAATATAATGAAACTTTAACAATGGTCTTAGAATTTTTAATCTATCTGATATCCTTGCTTGTAAATAACTAACATAAATTTAAAATAATTAAATCAATTGTATTAAAAAATGCCAAAGAAAGCAAAAAAATTTTTCAGAAATTAGAACCTTACTTATACTGACATTTCCACTATATTTGACATGATTAAAAGTAGCTTTTAAAATATTTTTTACATTAGTAGTTTTCTATTTCTGATTGTACTTCAATAAAATAAAAATTTGATCAATGACCTATTAAGTATAATTTCAATGCCAACTCTTTTTTCTATCACCAGCTAGCTGGGCTGGCGACCTGAGCTGGGTTTACAAAAGCTGCACCAATAACTTAAGAAAACAGCGAAAGAAACACGCAACACACAGAAATACCTTATGCTTTCAGGAATCGGGGACAGCTCTTGACCTTAAGAGTCTGTTGGAAAGAGAGAGAAAGAGAGAGAGAGAGGGAGAGAGAGAGAGAGAGACCTGAAAATCCTCTATTTACTGGGGAGAAAGACATTCTAGAAATTTCAACCCAAATAAGGCAAGGGATTGGTTTTAGGGAGTTGCTTGGTGATGTCTTGCAGTTAGCAGATTTGACCAACATCTTGGAAAGCCATGCCATCTCGGGGGTGTGTGGGATCAAAGGCAGAGTGAACGAAAAGAACACACACATTCCCAGAGTACAAAATAACTTTAGGAAAAAAACACTGAGGTAAAATAGAATATAATATTAATCAGAGAAGCAGTGTCAGTCCAGTCCCCTCATGCGCTCAAATACTCACAGCTTACACACATAGCCCATGACTGGCTCTCTACACTTTTCTAGCCTTATCTCTCAGTAATTCTCTTTATCAAGTTCAAGTGCTAATCACTATGCTCCAGACTTCACTGTCTTCAAACTTTGCTAATCTTCCAGCCTTCCACATCTTTTTTTTTTTTTTGATCGAACCCAGACTGCACGCATGCCAGGCGAGCGCATTACTGCTTGAGCCACATCCCCAGCCCTGTTATTCCCATCTTTACCTTACTCTTTGCCTATCCATCCTAGTTCTGTCCACTCTGGAAGACCCATGTCAAGTATCACCTCTACGAACCTTATTAGCAAATAAGGCATGTACAAAAGCTGAAATCCAAATGAAAAATTTACAACTTGTTCTTAGTGGGGAAGTTGAGGAACACCTCTTAGAGGAAGGTGATGCTGTGAATTCAGTTTGCATGTCATCAGTAGTAATTTCTTCAAGTAACTGTCTGGAATACTAATTAACTTATACAAAATACAATTGGTTTAACCAAATAGGAATACTATAAAAAGTATTCAGGACCCCAAAGTATTAGAAATGGAAGTCCATAGAATGTACAAAGGACCAAAGCTTCTTCCACTGTCCAAGGCTTTCCTCTCTCTCTTTACTGTTGGCAGTGGCCTTACCCTGCTGCCTCACACCCCTTTAGCTGGCTAAGTCCTAACATCCTTCGGCCAAGGCCCTACTTTCTTTGGGGAGCTATGCCTAAACTGCACCTAAACCACCTCTGGATTGACTGGATGCTCCTACACTCTTGTAGTTCTGTATAATAGCACTTAAGCTATTTTGTAATCTTTTGTTTGCCTCTTCTACTAAGCTGTCAAATCCTTAAGGAGAGGAACTGGACTAGTCCTGATGGTGTGCCTGAATCACCAAAGACTTTCAGTAAGTACAGTTGCCTTTTTATTTGGGGGTTTCACATCTATGAATTCAACAATCTGGAGATCAAAGATATTGGTGAAAAATCCAGAAATTTCCAACTAGCAAAACTTGAATTTGTAGCATACTGACTACTACAGTACATGTGAATGAAATGATAGGCAGGCATTATATTAGGTGTTATAAGTAATCTAGAGATGACCTAATGTATATAAGAGGATGTGTTTCTGTTGTATACAAATATCACTCTATTTTATATAAGGAACTTAAGCATCCATACATTTTGGTATCTCATGGGGAACTTGAAACTAACTTCCACTGATATCCAGGACAACTGTTATCTGTTGAAGGAATGAAGTTTCAGAGTCTACGAAAGTAGAGAAACAGGTGAGCATTACATTTATGGTGTCCCACCAAAGTGTACCTAATTAATAAAGTTCAATTTGAGGGCTGTGGATATGGCTCAAGTAGTAGTGTGCTCACCTAGCATGAGTGAGGCACTGGGTTCGATCCTCAGCATCACATAAAAATAAATTAAAGATATTGTGTCCACCTAAAGATAAAAAATAAATATTAAAAAATGTTCAATTTGAAACACCCATGTGACTTTTGGTATAAATTAATTCCATTCATACTGAGAAAAATACAGAACCAGAGAATAACCAGAGTCAGGCTGACATAAGAATGAACTCTGCTTAAAAGAAGTGAATATTAAGTTAGTTAGAAGAGCCATGGTGGAAAGGGCTGGCATTCTGGAGATTAGCTTTGTAGGATTAGAATATTCATAATTCAGTTATTTAATACATATTTAATATCTACTTCAAGATTAGATTGTAGGGCTGGGGCTGTAGCTCAGTGGCAGAGTGCTAGCCTTGCATGTGTGAGGCACTGGGTTCGACCCTCAGCACCACATAAAAATAAACAAATAAAATAAAGGCATGCTGTCCATCTACAACTACAAAATTTTTTTTAAAAAAATTAGATTGTACTTTGAATTCTAGGTCAAAAGGGTTAGTTGGGATATGACAAATAAGCAAAAAACACTTTGGAGATACACACACACACACATATATACATGCACACATATATAAATTAATGTGTGTGTCATGATAGAAACTTAAACTCTACTTGAGTGTTATTCTTTTAGCAGCGAGGACAGAGATGACCTAGTATACCTAGAGGAATTTGGGGTGATACATAAAAGCAGAGAGAGCCTGTTCTAAAGTGGGATACAATATGACTTATGCAAGTTCGCCTTTCTTCTCATTTTCTCTGCTGTTATGTCACAATGTCTGGAATTCCCAAGACACAAGTTAATCTTTTGCTTTAGTTACCATCTTTCAAAAACCCCTGATAACATGCAAAAATACATTGTTAAGTATTGTTAAGTAATGTTAGTAAACCTAACACAATGGTGGCTCTGGCCAAGTATTAACTTGCCTTCCCCCTAGGGATATGCATGCTTAGGTAGAGATGCTTCTCAGCCTCCTCACAGCTGGATAATGTCAGCACCAATAGAAAGTAAGAGGAGAAATGTGTCTGACCTCCACATCTCTTCCTTAAAAATAAATGGCTTTACATGCATTTTCTTTTTTTCCTATACCCCAAGGGCTAAAAAAGAGACCTGGTAGAGATCTGTCTTTAACCCAGGTCCTAAGCTAAGGCATGGCAGACCTTCACGATAGAAAGACATGGGTCTCAGAGAAGCCCCATGAGCTAAGCCCTTTATTAGCATTAACCAACCACCAGTTTCATGAGAGGGAAACAGAACTGTGTTTTGAGAATTTATTTTTTGATTCCCTCCTTATAGCAACTTATGTTACCCCAATTAATATGACATTTCATGACACTCACCAAGATTTGGAAAATTAGCTCTCTCTTACTAGAGAATTGGAAAAGCCCAAAGATGTGGGCCACAAGAAACAAATAAGAGCTGGATCAGGGAACTGGCACAATTGGAAGGTAGATTTAGAAGGGTCACTGACATGACGACTGAGTATCCAGGTAGGGGATAGATAGGTTCTTTTAACATCTGGATGGACCAAGACCAAGAATCAATGAAGACACTTTGTAAACTTTAAAATTTTGGTGGGGCCAATCAGTTACAATACTTCATAGAAAGGTACTGAGAAAGGTAAAGATGGAGAAGGAGAAGAATAGTAAGGGCAGAAATTGACAAGCGACTGCATTTTGGTTTTTAAAAATAAAACAGGAAGAGAAGCCAGAAACAACTCAAGTCATGAGAGCTGTGACCATGAATCGTGAAACTGTTACAGTAAGTTAGAACAAGCTATTGGATAGCTGAGGAAGGTACTGAACTTGGTCTCTGCCATGTTGACTTTAAATCGTGGCAGTAAAGTGTCCTTATACAAATTAAGATAAAGGATGAAGGGGTAGCTAGGGGAAAAAAAAGACATCCGTAGATATAGAACATTTCCACTCACATGCTAAAGGCAAGGGCTAAAAATGCTGTTTAAGACAGTAACACTTTTGTTCTATTACATTTTAAATTTAAATATTACATATATGAGTATCCATTCTGATAAAATTGGCTTCTGGGAGAAGCTTTTTATCATTGGGTTCACCATTTTTCTTTCACCTCTAAACTGGTTGAAAAGTCTCTCCTTGAACCTCATCTTGATTTTGATGTTCAAATTTCTGGAGAAGCTTGGGACCAAGCAAACCAATAAGTAGACTTCCAATTGGGGCTGTGATGAGGATGGACAAAAACGCCACTGTCAACACATCCATTCCATATTCTTCCAACTCTTTCTCTCCATGTGATCTTGCTGTGTCCAAAGCCACAGATCCTATTGCAGCCTATAAAAGTTTAAGGGTAAGGTTGGAAATATAAGACAAGCACATATTTTTAAAAATGACTTATGTTATCATTTGCAAAAACAACATTCTTATTCTTTGGCTCAACTAAGAAAGTTGAATTTGTCTTCTTTCAACACCTACTGTAGCTGGTTTTAATTATCTATAAACTCTGCTCTTGCATGGGGACAGACTGTTGACTCCAATGTACCTATTTGCATAAGGCTTGGTTAATAATAGTCAGTCACCTACATTTCAAAACGCAAGGCAAATATGGACTATTAATCAAATATAGCCTGAAGTGCTATATAATAAATTTCTTTGGAGTGAAGATGAAACTTACTAGTTGTTTCATTCATTTATCTTTGCAAGTGTGAAATTAAAATGATTTATAAAAGGAATAATATTTATGGAAGATTTAAATGAATAAGTATTAGTTTGGAGCCTGAACGAATGGTTCAAACAGCATGAAACATGAAAGCAGCAGAGACTTTCAAAACTTGAAGTTAATCTTATTAGGTATTTGTTTAACTTTGCCACCAGAGTTCGTGAAATGTTTTATTTAAAATGTATCTCCTAGAGGGTATTATGAAAATTCTCATTTTCTTTTAGAGGATAAATGTATTACTATGAATGTACATGGGGAAAGATGTATTGATCAATGTGGTTAACCTCTTATTCCTTAGCAGAAAAATGTTCACCTCTAAAATAATAAAACAGAAGAGAAAGTATTATACTTCAGACACAAGGGCTAGTTGCCCACAAATATCTAAATGTTTCTCTTCCCTTCTATAATAAAACTCCCCAGTTTTCTCTGTCCCATTGCTGTTCAGTCAGAGAACTTATATTTTTTTCAGCCTCTTTTATACCTAGATGTAGCTTATATCTAAGTTCTGGCCACTAAGAGATGAGTAGAAGTGATAACTGCTACTTATAAATTGTTCCTGAAAGGAATTGACATATATATTTTATTCATTTCTCCCTTCAAACTGTATTTAAAAAATACTAAAAGCTGGACTCCTGGGTAGAAGGCACATGCTGAGGATTGTGGTCACCTTGACAGGTCTGGAATGTCCTTGCTGGATTGTTAGTAAAAGATTTTTAAAAATCTGTTTTATTTAGTCCCTACACACAAAGGCTCTTTGTTGTTGTGGGTTACTCTGTTCCATAACTAATTTCAACATTTTATGAATTCCTGGATGTGCTTCACACATTACATTACAATGCCTACTTCTATTTCAGTTCTCTATTGTGTGTTGTTATTGTTTGTATCTTGAATATCTACTGAAAGCTCATGTGTTAGGCAATGCCGGAATGTTCAGAGGTGAGATGATTAGATTATGACAGATGTAACCTTCCAGCTGGATTAATGCATTTAATGGATTCATAATGTGAATGGATTACTGGGTGGTAACTGCAGGCTGCAGGAAAGAGGTCACTGGGAGGCATGTCCTTGGACTATATCTGGCTCCTCTCTTGCTTTTTCCTCTTCTTGGCTGACATGAGCTGAACAGCTTTCTTCTGTCATTCCTTTCTGCCATGACATTCTGCCTCGTCTTGGGCCCAGAGCAAGGGAGCCGGCCAAACATGAACTAAACCTCTGAAACCATGATCCCAACATATACCTTTCCTCCTCTAAGTTGTTGTCAGGTAATTTGGTCACAGTGATGAAAAGCTGACTAGCACATGTGTGTATGTGTATGTACATTTTGGGTTTTGTGTGTATGTTGAATTGTGCTTTCAAATACATTTCTTATAGCAGATCACAAAGTTTAAAAACACTAGTATCACTAATATAGAATATGCATATACTAGAAAGTCTTATTTCTTCTGTAGTGCCAACAGAAAAAAAAGAAAATTCTATACAATATAGTCAGCCCTCCATGTCCATGGATTCTGAATCTATAAATTTAATAAATACAGATTGAAAATATTAAAAAAAATATATCTGTACTGAATGTGCCTAGTCTATTTCCTTGTCAATAATCCCTAGACAAATAAATAAATATTATTTATTTGTAAATAAGTAAAAATAGAGTATAACCACTTTTCACAGCATTTATATTGTATTAGGAATTATAAATAATTCGGAGATGATTTAGACTATATGGGAGTATATGTATGAACTACATGCAAATACCATGCCATTTTATATAAGGAACTTGAGTGTCTGCAGATGTTTGTATTTAGATGTGGTCCTGAAACCAATTCCCCATGGGTACTGAGAGATGATTGTACTTGCTCCCATTAGACTTACATTATCCAACACATCCTAAATAATTTTACTTATTTTAAATGTTGTTCTGATGTTGGGAGAGTGCCAGCTTTCAAATTTTAACATTTAGAAACAAATCTCTCATATACAAGGTAAAGTCATTATTTTGATATTTATCTATTGAAGTTACTAGAATTTGTATGGAAGCTGAAAACACTGTGAGGGAGAAATTATTCCATTTACTATATTGTGGTATCTCTGAGCCATTATATCTCTGAAATCTTTGAAAGTCTGATGGAATTTTTTTTTTTCAGGAAGAATACCCAAGCTCAGGGCCACACAAAATCTGGAATATAATTAGAGAACATACACATCTTCCAAAGCCACTTAAATTAAGAGCATCTAATTTTCAGTTTATGACAATAAAAGTTTACATACTTCAATAATTGCCAAATAATCAGGTATAGAACAGTTTAATCTTGTTAGATATAATTAATCTGGAAATACACAATATAATCAGGGATGTATTGCATTGCATTTGCAATAAACATAATCTAGATAGTTCTAATTTAACTAGCAATAATAAGTATTCTAAGGCTTGCTTGATCAACAGTTTCAAGCACCTATCCTCAAGGGCTTTCTTTGTCCGTTGTTCATTGGAGTGCACAAACTTTGTGTCAAGTGATCAAGACACATGTCAGGAAGTTCAGCTAGTTGTGAATTATTAATAACAAGTAATGATCTAGGAAATGAATACAATAGTCCTCCTTTATCTGTGGGGATTATGTTTCAAGATCCTTAGTGGATATATGAAATTCTAGATAGCCCTGAGCCCTACATATTACCATGTTTTTCTCCCTTTAAGTGAAGAACTTTCACCATTTAAACTAAAGGTTAAAAGAAGTACTTAATTTCTTTGGCATGTTGCAATTGCCAGCATCACTGTCTTGCACGTTGGGGCCATTATTGAGTAAAGCAAGGGTCACTTGAAAACAAGCACTACTGCCAGGAGTGGTGGCACATGTCTGTAATCCCAACCGCTCAGGAGGCTGAGGCAGGAGGATCGAGAATTCAAATCCAGTCTCAGCAAAAGTGAGGTGCTAAGTAACTCAGTGAGACCCTGTCTCTACATAAAATACAAAACAGGGCTGGATATGTGGCTCAGTGGTCGAGTGCCCCTGGGTTCAATCCCCGGTACCACCACCCCCCCACAAAAAAAATTAAGAAAGAAAATAAAACAAGCACTGCAAGACTGAAACAGTTCATGTGACAACTGAGACAAATATTAAGTGACCCCCAGGTGAGTGGATACTTTGGACAAAGGGATGATTTATGTCCCCAGGCAGGACAAAATAAGATGGTGTGATATTTCACAATGCTACTCAAAATGGTAAGTAATTCAAAAGTAAAGAATTGTTTATTTCTGGCATTTTCCACTTAATATTTTAGACTGGGTTGGCCATGGGTAAGAGAAACCACAGACAGTGAAACTATGGATAAAGGAAGATAACTGTGAAGCATTTTTCTGAGGTCTTCTTCAATAAATCTTTTCTCAATTACATATGAAATTTCTGACAAATCATAATTTATTCTAATCTTTTTGACATTGAAGTTTCTCAAAACATTAAATGGGTCAAGCCATTTCTGTTTTACTCTTCTGGGAAGATAATGAAATAAAAAGAGTTAAAAACTCTCACTTTCAATGACTTAGGAAGCTCAAACCATTCCCTCCTGTCACCACCAGTTTCTAGTACTGTAGGAATTTATTGGAGTTTTAGTTATATTCTGGTGAGCTAAAAAAATTTAAATGAGCCATCACATTTAATCACCAATATACCAAAAATAAACTTTTAAAGAGTGTATTAGTATAAATGCTTCCTAAATCCACCTCAATTATTAATTTTCACAAAATTTAAACAAGTCTTCTTATTTGTCATCTTAAGAAGTCTTATAAAGTGCTAAGACATCCTATCCATCATTACCTGGACTGTGGCCTTCGGAAGCCATGCAAAAGAAATAAATATCTTTTCCTTTATGTTAAAACCAGCAAAACACACCATCAGAAATGTAGTCAAAATTCGTATCAATACTGCAATGCCCAAGGTGGCAACACAAAGGCCTGAAAGAAATACTTCATTTTTAGAAATAACAAAATACTAGTGGAGAAGTTATATCTCATATTTAGTTGTTGATTCAAAATAACACTAACAGCAATAATTTTAAAACATTAAACTATTGAAATATTGCAATGATTAGGCATTATTTATGAAAAAATCAATTTTAAGTATTGATCAATTTGTTCAAAAACAGATGTTTCCCTTAGATTAAAACCAGAAATTCAACATATTTGAATTTTTACAAAGGAGATGTGAATGTTATCTCTCATATACTTTTATAGTAAGAGCCACACTTTATTCTACTTGTTTAACAAGAATTCATTAAATGATATCATGCATGACAAGCTTTAAGCTAGTTACTGGGGACACAAAAATGTATCATGTACAAACTTTGCTTCTATGAGCCTTGCAATTAGAAAAAGGCTGAAACATAAACATCTAATTCATATATACTATATGATAACTGAAGGATAAACAAATTGGTAAGTATTCATAGAAGTGGAAAAAATAATATTTCATCAAAGTAATTGAGAACTCTTTGCAGAGTATAAAATTAGAGGTGATATTAAAAATATTCATCAGGCAGCATGAAGGGAATGAGCCAATCAGATGGAGCTATAGGCGGCTAGTGTCTTCAACAAAGAGCCACAAGAGTTTCATAAAGAAACCGTATTCCAGATTCACAACAGATTCTCCTGCAATGTCTATGTGAAGTTGAGAAGGGATATGTTATTTTTTCAAGTTCAAAGGATAGACATCACAGGAGGGTCTTTTGTGAACCCTCAATATGATTTCTTTATGGAAGGTTTTTGTGGCTCTTTGTTGAAACATATTTCTCTCGGGTATTCAAAAGTGTCTGTTGCCTGCTGCACAAGATACAAAAGATTTGATTTTGGAATGAGATAGTTTACAATTGATGTCACTGGTATAAGTAAGATCAGAGAATTGATAGAGGAATGAAAAGCCTTGGTAGAAACTTTGATGAAGAGCAATGTTTAAGCTACATATGTTATAAATGAGGACTTGGGGGACTCTGGAAAATAGCAGAATTCAATGTAAGAGTGTTTTAAAGAGACATAGCACCAAATGATTTTGAGAAATCAAGTAAAAGAAAGGCAAGATTTAGCAATGAAATCATTCTGAGAACACAGTTGGTTATATGATGGGCCAGAAGTAGAATGAAATGTATAGAGGAAGGGAATGGGAATTTAAATGGAATCTAAGTTTGAAAGGAGGAAAAAAGAAATAATGTTTATAGGTAATGGGCAAGATAAATGAAGAAAGAATACATGTATTTATTTAATTTCAATACATTTTTTCCATGTATGCATTATTTTAAATTGTAAAATACATATAACATCTACCAACTTAACCATTTTTAAGTGCACATGCATACTATTGTGCAGCCAATCTTCAGGACATTTTCACCTTGCAAAACTTAAAAATTTAAAAACTCTGTGCTCACTTTACCCTAACCCCAACCCCTGACAACCACAATTTTACTTTCTTTATGAATCAAACTACTCTGGATACCTTATATAAATGGAGTCATAATAGTATTAATTTTTTTTGTTACTGGCTTATTTCACTTAGCCTAATGTCCTCAAGGTTTAACCATGTTGTAGCATGGTGAGAATGGGAGAATACCTTTTTTTATTTTTATTTTTTTAAGAATATCTTTTTTGAGAGAGAGAGAGAGAAGAGACAGAGAATTTTTTAATATTTATTTTTCAGTATTTGGGCTGGGGCTGTAGCTCAGTGATAGAATGCTTGCATTGAGTTTGATCCTTAGCACAATATAAAAATAAACAAATAAAATAAAGGTATTCTGTCCATGTACAAATACAAAATAAAAATTAAAAAAAAAAGATAAGTGAGATTAGAGACTGATTAAATTCTAAAGAGGAGAAAACTGTAACAAGGATATTTGAAGATGCATGAGAAAAAGAAAAGAATCTATATGTGTGATTCAGAAGGCAGTAGCAGGGATGGGACTCTTACTATGGATAGGAGAATACTGTGATGAGGAAAGGAGAAAAGAATGAATATGTATACACATTGCTGTGTGTGAATCAATGTACTTTTGAATTGTTTGAGTGAATAAAAGATTGAGTGAACAACAAACATTTCTGTTCCATGGGTACATATTATAGAACTAACTAGTTATCTTTAAAATTGCAGCCCTTAATCAGATCAGGGCTAGATGTACATTCCTATCCTTCAAAAAAGAATTTTAATACCTGAATTTTCTGGATAGGAGTCAGTAGTGTTTTTTTTTTTCTTTACCAGGAACTGTATTAAAGGTATAGAATTTACTGTCTGAGATTAACAAACATTGTTTTCTAACCAACCACTCTAAAAGATTCAGATCATAATTAACTTTTTATTTAACTGTAAAAATGGGAACCACTGAACACATAACCATTGAAGATATTTCTCTTGAATATAAAAAGATCTGATTTTAGTACAAGAACCACTTTGAAATTCTTACCAACAGTTTCCGGTCTGAGAGACGCAATAGATACCTCTGCTCCAATCAGTCCAAAAAGAAGTGGCTGAAAAATGTCCCAGGCAACTGCAATTATCTTTTCAACCTCTGCCTAAAGAAAACAAACAAAACACATGCATTTTTATTATGTGAAGCTACAAATGCCAAGAACTTAACTAATTGTTTCAGATTAATTTGATCTGAGACAGGCTTGCTTGCTTTCTTTCCTGTGTATGTGTGTGTGTGTGTGTGTGTGTGTGTGTGTGTGTGTGTGTTGCTAGAGATCAAATGCAGGGCCTCTTGCATTGCTAAGTAAGCACTCTACCACTGAGCTACATCCCCAGCTCAAGATAGGCTTTATTTCTGTGACAACTATAAACAAAAGATTAGCTAAGAACAGCAAAACAAGTAAATGAAGATATTTCTAACACAAAAGTGTAAATGGTCAAAAAAACTTAAGATGCTAAGACTCAGAAATCAGAGAACCACAAATTAAAATGATCTTTTGGGAGGTGGAAGGGAGGACCCATCACATAAAAAAAAAATATTAAGTTTTCATAATGTCAAGTATTTGTAAGATTGCAAGGAAACTCTAATAAGTAGGAGAGGAAATTGATAAGCTTTTTTATGGAAGAGAAATTAGTATCTGTTAACATTGTCTAGGAATTTACATTGAACAGATATTCTTTTCAATTAACTAATAAGAATCTATATTTTTGGATGACATTTAATGCTCACTGTCATATCTCTTTAAGGATCTGTAATTCCTTATTAAGCAAATTGACAGAGAAAGATTATGTTATTTCACTTTTCCCTTCATTTTAATTTTTATTATTTCTGGTATGTTTATTAGGGTGAAGATTCTATTTCCGTTAGCTTATAAATGTTGAATGACAAAGCACTTTAGGGTTTGATTTATTTAACAGTTCTATAGCTATAAAATGCAAAAACTTTATAGTTTCACATCATAAGGAAAGAGATGAACTTAGGTTCAAATCTATCACCATTAATTGCAAGTAGCCTACATCTCAGTACCTTATTTGTAAAATAATAGATTTTTTTTTATTGGTTGTTCAAAACATTACAAAGCTCACGACATATCATCTTTCATACATTTGATTCAAGTGGGTTATGAACTCGATTTATATTAAGATTCTTTACCATTGAATGACAAAAACTAGTTCTACCAAAACTCAGGTCCATTTGCTACCCTTCCACACATCTTTAAATTTTACCCTAATTTAATCTTTCTAGTATATCATAATGAAAGCTTAGACTTTAATTGATAATCATAATGATAAAAAAAAGAATGAACGATGCTAACTTTAAGTTGCTTAGTTTTTTGTTGGTGTGACTAATTTTAAGGGGAGTCTTCAAATATATTTCATACATTCAGGACACTAATAAAAGTGGAAAAACTAAAGAGTTTATCAGATTACTTCTATTTCTAAATAGCAGACAAAAGCCACAATTTTTTTTTTATTATGACACTGGACATGGGCTTATTATATACTGTAAAACTTTAAAATGGGAGAAGAATCACATCTTCTTATGGCTTTTACATAATTTAAAAACTAAAATGATTTTTTAAATAAAATGGAGTCATCAAATAGGCAAAGTACAAAAGAGTTAAGACTACAGCAATAAAAGTTATTATCTGTTGAAAATTAAGGCTACTTTATACATCTTTATACATCATTATAAAATCCTCAGAAATGTAAATCACTTCCAAGGATGGACAAAAGAAGAAAGTTAAGAGAAAGAGGGGAGATTTCTTTATGAGTTAAATATCTACTTGAGTTGATAATTCTCAGATAATTTAGCAATTCATAAAATTCAAAGTATATGAAGAAAAGAAAACCTCATAATTATAAAGGTCATCAAACAAAGCACTGAATTTGAAAACACAGATGAATGAGGGATTTAAAATGGTGACCATATTTAAATGACACAATTAATGATTATAAGGAAAACTAAGCAGAAAAACATGAGATTGTGTCAGAAAAATACATACATAAACACAATTTTATAAAATGTTTTAGTTTCTTTAAGTATAACAACTTGGGGAACTGCTATCTTCCAGCAATTTGCCAAAATAATAAGCACAAAGTGAAAGAGGAGAGGCACCAGATATATGTTCTCCAGGCCTTTTAGAAAACATGAAGTTGTTACTTTGGTCACATTCCTGGGAATGTGCAAGAAGGATGATATTGTAGACATCAAGGGAATGGATATTGTTCAAAAGGAATGCCCCACAAATGTTACCGCGGCAAAGCAGGGAGCCTACAAGCTGCCCAGCATGCTGTTGGCAATGTAAACATGCAAGCTAAGGTCAAGGTTTTGCCAAGAGAATTAATGTGTATATTGATCATATCAACCCAAGATATCTTTCTGAAGTGTGTGCATGAAGGAAAATGATCAGAATAAGAAGGAAGCCAAAGAGAAAGTAGCTGGGTTCAACTGAAGCACAAGCCCGCACTCCCCAGAGAAGCACACTTCGTGAGAACTAGTAAAAAAATAAAAATAAAAATAAAAATCTGAGCTTCTGGAACCTATCATGGTATAATAGCTGCAAAAAAACAAAACAAAAAAATCTCCTTGGACAGTAAAATATTTTTCTTAATTGAGTGGAAGTGTGGTGTTCTATCTTCAAGAAATATTTAAAGAAAAAAACAAAGTATAACAACTTAACAGCAATGTTGCTTGCTAAAGTATTGGAGAATTTACAGGAGTGTCATTTCCATTTTCCTATGTAATAGTTACAACAAGTTTTTAGAATTTTTTAAAATAATTTTATTGTTGAGAAAACAGTATTAAAGAAGGCAAATAATTTGCTTGGGATTATACAGCTAGGGGTAGTAGAACTGGAATTAGAATTCCATCTCCATAGCTTAAATCTTATACACTTTCCATTATGTCATGCTGCTTTGGTAGTAGTCAACAGAAATAATAAGGGCTATTATTTACTAAGTATTCATTCAAAGACTAAGTGCTAAAAGCTCTAGAGGATTTCACTTATTCCTCTGCTTGATGAAGATGTTGCTATAATCACTCCCCATTTTAGAGAAAAGTAAATTGAAGCTTGAGAAACTAGATAATTTCTACATGGTCATATAGTAGTAAACTACAGAGTAGAGATTAGCATTAGAAATCTCAGCTCTTAGACTATGTTATCCTATTGAACAAGGAAGAAAAGAATCCCAATTCTGGACTCATTGGTTTGGTGCCCTCAGAAGTAGGAACTTATCTAGGGTCCTAAATTAGAAAAGACACGGAGAGTATCTGCATATTACTGATTCAATAAACATTAGTTTTCTTTCCTTTCTTTAAGGAACCATTTTGATTTACAAAAATCGCCTGTTTTTATCCAGGCTCTGCCACTTACTAGCTATTTGACCTTAGGCAATCTATTAAATATTAATAATCCTTGGTGTACCCATTTGTAAAATAGGTCTAATGTCTACCTTTCAAGGTTATTAATGTAAATAAGTGAGATATCTTTAAGGAAAATTTTAAATTATGAGAGAAAAGCTCATAATAAGATATTGATAGGTCTGATGCCACGAAAATAGGAGATCTGAGTGCTGAACAAGATAAAAAAGGTGCAAAAGGTTAATATCATATATTTAGATGTGTATGTGAGTGCATATACTTAATAATAACTTAACAATCAACACTTTATACTTCAGACATACAGATTCCCATCATGGTCTACCTATATTCTAAGCAGATGAAGTTGTAATGAGATAGGTATCACATTATTACTGGTAGAAAAGTAAGCAGATACAATTCTAGAAAGCAGAAACTAACAGACAAAAAAGACCTGTCAATGAAAAAGGGAAAAAATACAAATGGTTAAATACATTTTTTAAAAGGTTCAATTTCATTGTTCATAAAAGAAGCTTAAAAGAAAACAAGATACTGCATTTTACCTCTTAGTATGACTAAAGATCAAAAACAACAATATTCAAAGCTAGTGTTTGAGTGTGGTCCCCAGACTAGAAGCATCAGCAAACTTTAAGAATTACCTATAGACTCATTCATACATAAGGTAGAGTCATTAGTTTGATATTTATCTATTAAAGAGAATCTTCCTATTATAAACTGAGTACTTACATCATCCCTCATTTTCCTATCACTTCACTTTCCTTGTGGGTAGAGACAAGGTTATAGGATGAAGGGGTGTGCTGCTGCCTTGCTTCTTTCTAAGGATTCTGCTTTCTGTCCCCCCTGCCAGTCTGGAAGCACTGACCCACTCCTTTACAGAATAGCATATGATCTTGTCAAGTTCGAATTTATTAAAAAAAAAGAATCTGGAAATTAAAATAAATAAATGGCAACCAGACAATTTTCATAATACATATTGAGAAAATGAATATTTTTAATGTTTTTGAAAATAAGAAAAACCAAAATAATTTTATTAAAATGAAAAAAAAACTTTTGACAAACTAGCTAGTAATTTCATGAAAAGATCATTAGCTTTACTTATAAAGAAAAATAAATCAAATTAGTAGTGACATATTTTTCACCTCTCAGATTTCAAACTATCTGAAGACTAAAAATTACTCAAATAAAAAAAGCAGATCCTCTTATATACCATTGTTGGGAATGTAAATCTGTACAACTTTTTAATGTAGAAAATTGATAACTCTCAAAAATACAATTATGCATACTCTTTCCTAGAGCAATCCTATTTCTAAAAAATGTATTCTATAGAGAAACTCAAAGATATACTATATTTTGTTGATTTTAAGACATTTTTACATTTCTGAAATTAGAATGTTATGGTATAGTTTAATTGGTAGTATTTTTCTTTCTTAGTTGTATATAAAATAATGGTGTAAGAATTGATAATGTCTTAGACTTTAGGAAATATGGTATATGTGAGGATATTTTATTGAAGCACTGTTTATCTAGGCATAAAACTAGAATAATCTAAACATCTTTCAGTAGGAGACTGGTTAAATAAAGTGTGATCTACCCATATAGTGCAATATTCTGCAACCATTAAAACGTAATAACAATAAGGAAAGAGACTGGTATGGTAGTCCATGCTTATAATTTCAGCTATTCAGGAAGCAGAGGCAGGAGGATCACAAGTTCAAGGTAAGCCTGGACAATTTAGTGAGACCCTCTCTCAAAATACAAAAACAAAAATAGGGGTTGGGGATATAGCTCAGTAGCAGAGCCCTGCCCTAGCATGTATGAGGCTTTAAGTTCCATCCCTAAAACCACAAAATATAATAAAAATAAAATAAACAGAATAAGGAAGACATTAGGATAGTATGACCATGATCCATTTTTAAGTAAAGCATCAAGTTTAAATTAATATGTAAGGAGGGAAAAGGATATGCATGTATGCACTGAGTATACATTTGCATATGGACAGAAAATAACTTTCATGATTAAAATTTTGATTAATTTAATGTTAAGAAAGTATCTGAAAAGAAAAAGATTAGTCTGGCCAAAAAGAACCATTAGCCAGATTTAAAATGCTGCTCACCTTTTTGTTGCTCCATCCCATGCCTGCAAGGAAAGCCATGACCAATGTGCACAGTCCTCCCGATCCAGGAAATCCAAAGTTCACACTGCTGAACACAGCTAGCACAGAGAACCCCAAAACCAGGAATGCCCTCTTCCACACAAGCTTGTCCTTTAAGAGAAAAATGCTGATGTAGCTCAATTATTTCAAATTGATTTTAATTATTGATTCAAATAACCGATTGTTAATTATTTATTTTTCCATATCCACAATGTAGAGGGAAATGAAAATGTCCATTTCAGTGTATGACATTTATTTTCTCTTCCTTAATAAGCAGAGATACCAATGTAAGATCCTCTTTTAGGAACACCAGTTCTCTTCCTCTGCATTTATCAATGCAGAATTTCACGAGGCTTAAGACAGTGGCACCAAAAAGTACATGGGCTTTGGAGCCAGAAAGAACAGGTTAAAAGACACTTTTTTATATCATTGGTTTAACTTTTCCAAGTTCTGTTTCTTCATGTCTGAAAGAATGTACATCAACAGGGTTTTTGTGAAACTTAAAGGTACAACTTTATTATTTTCAGTCTCTCTCTTTAATGGATGCTTCCTTGGGTTTTTTTTTTTTTTTTAAATTCTTGAATACCAACATGCTTTAAGAGCCAACAGACTGAGACAGTAGTTGTTTGTTCTTGTTATTGCCAAGTGTAAGAACTGTGCAGTTTTTTCCCTTTCAAATTTCTTTGTCACTTTAGAAAGTAGGCCTTTAAAAGTGATTGATGGGGAGGCATGCAACTCTGGAGATAGATTACCTGAGTTCTTTCCCAGCTCCACTATTTTCTAGATACATGACCTTGTTCTCCTTACTTACTTCCCTAAGCCTCAATTTTCTTATCAGTTAAAAGTTTATATTAATAGTACTCTCTTTATTGATTATTGTGTGGACTGCACGAGATGAGCACTTCCCTACAGAATGTTCAGTGATGACAGAAATGTTCTGTCTGCCCTGTCTATAAAAATGATGTATATCTGCTACAGTCACATGTATCTATTGGCTGCCATATTGAACAGAGCCCCTAGATGATTTACTATGCCATTTTAGCACAGTAAGAAACAAATATAAGCTGTCATTTTTATTTTATTATGCAATTAGAATAATCTTATAAGGAGCTAGGGATGTTGCTCAGTAGTAGAGCAATTTCCTAGCATGCACAAAGCCGTGGGTTCAATTCCCAGTACCACAAAAAAGAGAATAAAGAATAATACCATAATATCTGCATTCATAAAATTCTTTACAGATATTTTTACTTGAAAGTTTTTGAAGTGCAATAAAAATTTAAATCCGTATATACTCTGATATGGTACCAGGATTTAACCTGGGATGCTTTACCACTGAGCAACATCCAGCATTTTTTATTTCTGAGACAGAGTCTCACTAAGTTGCTTAAGGACTCACTAAGTTGCTGAGGTTGGCTTTGAACTTGAGATCCTCATATCTCAGCTTCCCTAGCTGCTGGGATTATAGGCATGTGTCACCGCATCCACCATTATTTTTATTAATTAAATTTATTTATAGTTGTTAAGTTTATGATTCTATTCAAAATACTCTGAAACTTCAGAATAAGGCCAATTTATAGAAAGAACATATTTTCATAGGTTTATCTGCTCAACAAGAAATAGAAGAAAACAAAACATTTGTTTCTCATTAGGAAATAATTGTGTATAGTCAAGAACTTTGATCTACTTGAAAAGAAATGCTTTATTGTATTTTAATAAGATGTTAAAAGTCTTATCTATTTGAAAATATTAGAATCTAAGATATTTTGATACTAAAAAAGAGGATCCAAAAAAAGCCATCATATAATCTTAACTTAGTTGAATATTATGAAACTTCAAAAAACACGCATATCTTATTATTTTGGAATTGATGTTATTTATTTTAATGTGAAATTCAAAATGTACATAATATATTTTATATAATATAATGTATTCATATAAAATACAAATATAACCCAGGACTGCATTAAAATCTCATATATTTCAGCCTTCATCATAAATTTCATGAATAGCATAGACATAGCAATAAGCAACTTTAAAAAGATGAACCATTTTATGAAACATGTCCCTCATATCCACTTTAAGGGAAGTATTCTAAAGTGTTTTTCTAGTGACATTTTAGAGTGTAACTTTCCTACAGATTAATTCTTTTACCTGGTCACTGCTTGGAAAATACTGATTAAAAAATCCAAGAAGAGATCCAGTTGCCACACCAATTACCACCTCCAATATACCTCTGAGGACATTAAAAACTGTGGAGCCTGAAAAACACAAAAAAGAAAAACTCCAGAACTCTAAATCCATAAAATACACAAGCTTTAGACCACAACCACCAACATAAAGCACCTAAATATGTGGAACGAAATTCTTACAAACATTTCCTACTCTTTACATTCTTTTTTTTTAAGTAGCTGATTCTTTTTTTATATTTATTTTTTAGTTTTAGGTGGACACAATATCTTTATTTTATTTTTATGAGGTGCTGAGGATCGAACCCAGTGCCTCACGCATGCCAGGTGAGCGAGTGCGCTACCACTTGAACCACATCCCCAGCCCCACTCTTTACATTCTTAAATCTAAGTGTTTTTAAATGTCTAATAAAATGAGTCTATCTTATAAGAGTATTCAGATTATTGGGAATCAATTTCAAAACAAGCATAAGGTATAATTTATGCACTTCTTTATGTTTACCTTATCTACTTAAAAGGCCTGACAAATTGTGAAAAATTCAATTCGTGACTCAGACCTAGCTTGTTCTACTACATTATATGTATAGGCAAAGGGAGTAAACAGATGTAGTTAAGTTTTCAAATTACCACTTAAGAGCTGGATATTAAAAAAAAATTAACAGATAGACATTGATTTTAGTAGCTCTGATTTGTATGGACCTTATATGAACTGGGGATGTAGCTCTGTAGTAGAGCGCTTTCCTTTTGTGTGTGTGGGAGGCCCTGAGTTGAACCTCCAGTGTTGCAGTGGGGAAAAGAGAATCTGGTCATTAAAATCAAGAACTGTCTTCTTCTTCTAAAATGTTTACTCTAAAAATAAATCTGAAATTATTTTTGAAATTTCCCCTAGAAGGCTCTTTGTTGCTTAACCTCTTTGAAATATTATAATAAAGCAGTAAACAGAACCTACATTTCTCCCCTCACAGCAAATAGGATTTTGGAAACTAATTTTTAAAACAATCTTTGTTAGCACATTGTATAGAAAATTATATTAAAATTGTCCTACACATCAGCAATTCTTTAATACTGTCCTAAAGGAAATAATTGTACTTCTTATTGTGACTTCTTGTGATTATGGCAATCACTTATCTTATTTAAAAAGACTTCCCTCTGATGTAATTTTATTTAGCTAATGTATCTCTGCTAGGTAAATGGTGTGCCTGTCAAAAGCCTCTCGCTACAATAGCAGCATTGTGCTCAAGCTGTTACCATAAATAATTTATTCTAAGTGAAAAAAATGTATCAAATACCACTGTTAATCATTGTAGATTTTATACCAAGTTTTTGTTTGTTTGTTTGTTTTTTATAAAATATGGGGTGCAACCATTACTCAAAACTTTTATTTTTTTTCCTCTAATTTATTTATTTATTTTTTTCTTTTTCTTTTTTTTAAAATTTTTTATTGTTGGTTGTTCAAAACATTACAAATTTCTTGACATATCATATTCCACACTTTGATTCAAGTGGGTTATGAAGAAAAAACTTTTATTTTTAAATTGTGCTAGTATTACTTAAAAATCATTTATTACTAAACTTTTTGATGCATGATTAGGATGTATGGAATACTTGTGAATATATGTTAATGCAGTAGCAATGACTATGCGGTGAAATACAGTACCTAATTAGTTTCAGTCTTTTGTAAAATAAGGTCTTTATAAAAAAAAAAAAACCTATCTCAAAATTAAAAAAAAAAAAAAAGGCTGGGGATGTGGCTCAGTGTTTAAGCACCTCTGGGTTCAATCACTGGTATTAATACACACACACACACACACACACACACACATATGTACACACACACACACACACACACATATTGGGCATCTCCCCTGAAATTTCTAATTCAGTAACCTATCGGGGTTCAGATCCAAAAGGTCAGAGGACCAAATTTAGGGGGTAAGGCAGATTAACATGACAGAATCAGCTTGGAAGATTCTTGAAGTTATCACATTCTTCCCCTCCGCCCTCCCCCAGAATATAAAACCCCGGACCTGGACCCTCTTCTCAACTCCATTTCTCACCTCATCCCCTTCTTCCCAGTCCTCAGTGTGATGTTAATGCAAATTCTGCTCAAAGCAGTGGTTCCTCATCCTGGCAGATCTGGTTTCCATTCCCAAGAGTTCTGGTTTAATTGGTCTAAGGTAATGTCTACATAACAGTATTTTAAAAGAATATTCCCCAGATAATTCTAATGTGCTTTCAAGGCTGAGAACAATTGTTTTAAAGACATATACCAGGAAAGCAGCCAGAACATGGTCTGCATAGGTTCAGGAGAGTTAAAATTAAGACAAGAATGTCAATTGGAACTCATAGGTAAAAAGAAAATTTTTAATTTTTATTGGTGCTTGAACAAGAAAGTAACATCATGAAAATAATGTTTTGAAAGGATGATGTAATTTACCAGGACTGGAGGAAGGCTGACTCTGAAATATAACAAGGGGTGAGGTTCTAGATAATCTGTATGAATCATATATAATCATAAAATGGAAAGATAACTGTAGGGATTGAAGAGAATGAGAATAGCAAATTTTCAAAAAAGTATTTTTACTGAAGAATCTGAAGCTAAACTTAGGCTATAATTACACTCTGTCAATAATAGGAAGTTACAAATTTTATTTTCCAATTTTTGCAAAAGATTAAAAAAGAAACTTAATCTTGTGCTATGTCAAAGGATAATAAAGGTGTTGAATCTCTTCTTAGCCTTTTGCCTAAGATCAAGTGTAGTATCTGTTAACATCCTTTCAGTAAAGGTATTAAATAACAGCGGAGAGGAATGCCTTCAGTTTCTCTTTTGTTACTACTTGAAACAAAATACATCCATTGCAGTATGTATTAATATTAGTATGCTACCCATTAAAATCATTGCTTTTATTTTTTTGTGTGTGTGTGAAATCTCTAGAATTAAGTTTTCCTAGATCTCTCCAAGGAAGGCTTTAAACTTGCTTGCACTGGCTGCTCACTCCTTGGGCAATCTGTATCTAGAGGGAAGAAGTGAATAAAGATACTTCGGTGCCTCTCTAGGTTCAGGACTTTTACCCATGTTTCCCTGAATTTGAATTTACCTCATGCAAATATGCTATGCTTCCAACATTTTAACCTATGTCTCTCAAGAATGAGCGACCAGGGGCTGGGGTGGTGGCTCAGTGGTAGAGTGCTTGCCTAGCATGCATGAGGCACTGAGTTCGATCCTTGGCACCACATTTAAAAAAAAAAAAAAAAAAGAATGAGAGACCAACATAGGAACAGATTAGTCTACCTGTGGAAAAGGCCATGCCCAAGCATGTGTTGAAGCCGGTGATGGCCAGAATGTCATCGAAGCTGCCAGCAGCCATGAGTAGGGTCGGGACCCCCTTCTCAACACCATAGCCTCCTGCCTGCAAAAGGAGCATGGACGGCACCACGACAGCTGGAGACACGGCTCCTAGGACAAAACTAAGTACAGGCTGCTTCAGACACATGTGACCATATTCTACCCATTCTTATTATTTAAAAAAAAATTACAACAACCTCTACTGCTTTAAAAGTTAGATTCTGGACAGCTATAATCTTGAATGGCAGAGAAACACTATACACATGAAAGTTCTACAGAACATCATTTTCCAAAATACGTATACCCATGAACAACCTGTTTTGGAACTATTTAGGTTGCCTAGAATAAATAGTTATGAATGGTACAGAAGTCTTCACTGGGTTAGGCCCTGGCAAAGCTACCTTTTTAAAAACAAACCATTCATTTTAAGAGGTCTGAAAAATGGCCATGGTTGTTCTGAATTTGTACCCAATGATGCTGGGTCTTCAATTAGAGCTTGGTATGTAAATGAAGGCAACAGAGTCAAACAAGAAAGCCACAATGACAGTGACATTGATCTTAATAATCGCAGCAGTTGCGGGCTGGGGTTAGAGTGCTTGCCTCACATGTGTGAGGCACTGGGTTCAATCCTCAGCACCACATAATAATAAATAAATAAAAAATAAAGATATCATGTCCATCTACAACTAAAAAAAAAAAAAAGAATAGCAGCAGTTGTAATACTGAAGAACATTTTTTGAGCACTTCACATATATTAACTAATTTAATCTTCCTAACAGCCCTATGAGATTGATACAGTCTACCTTCATTTTATAAGTGAGGAAATTGAAGTACAGACAGACTACATAATTTGTAAAAAATCACACTCTGGAAAATCACAAAGCTGGGATTGGATTCCAAGTAATCCAGAATCTTAACCATGAGAAGAATTTCATCCTTCTAGCCTACTTATTAGCACTAAATTCCTACTAAGTACTTCTTTATTTATTCGCTTCTCATGGCTATTAAGTATTAGGAATAAAAGGCTGCTAGTGGAAGGGACACTGTGTCAGGTGTTGATCATGATTGCTATGTTAATCATCCTTTGTGTAGACTCTGGGGTAAGATCCAGCATCTCTCTCACAAGCTTACAATCAGATGGAAACAAAAGACCACACCTTCTTTAATAGTTTGAATTATAGTAATTACCATAAAAGTTAGTGTCTAAAGAGACACAGACCATAGTTTGAAGTTAGAATATTTAGATGATACTGGATTATCTCTGCTGCATTTTCTGGTGTTCTTAAGAAAATACTATTATGTATTCTCTTGTATGGGATCAAAGAAAGTCCTTAATATCCCTCCATATTTTCATACAACAAAGCCAAAAAAAAAAAAAAAAAACCCATTACCCCAGTATAAATCCCCACTGCCATGGTAAACCCATTAGGAAGTGGGCAAGAAGAGCAGATGTGCATGCCTCCACGAGACAGGGACCCATGGACAGTCGTACACACACACCCTTCAACTTCTTCAGTGCCTGGAATATAAAAGTAAGCATACTAATATAATCCTCTGAAGACATGCAGAGACACAACCCTAAATGCTTTCTCTTCAGCATTCAGACTGTGTCTGGGTCATCACAAACTTCCCAGGTAATTAGTTTTAACAAACATTTTAGCATCCTAAGTGTTTTAGAGACAGCTTATGTAATCCTCACAGTAACCCCATGAGATAGGTAATGGTACTATCCGTATTTTTAAAACCTAAAAAGGCACAAGTCCAAGTCATGTTTTCAAAGGTCATGAAATTGGTGAGTGATGGGGACAGGTGTGCACCCAGGTAGGTGGCTTCTGGAGTGAGTGCTCACAATCCTCACACTAGCTGACTTAACCTTCTCAGTATTCGTTTTACTTATAGTCTGGGGCCCAGAATGAGGCCAAGTGAAGAGCTTCATCCCCTAAGGACATTCATTTCTGCATTCCAAAATATATGAAAAAAAGCATTAAGAAAAAGCATGCTTGAGATTCATTCAATATACTAAGCAGTTTCCTGAATCAGCATAATTAGTCCTACATACTTATAAAGGGTTTTGCACACCAAAAATATATTGTTCCCCACTTCCCATCATCATTATTTATTACTATGGCCTATAGCTCTGTCAGAGAAAAGGAGAGCTTTTATTCTTGTGTTGTCACCACACATAGTACCTCCCCACCTTTCTCCAAGAAGGAGTATGAGAATATCTTCTGAGTTCCTGTGAGGCACAAGGTCTTACCTGCAAAATAACTCTGCATGAAATAAATTATATTTTCTTCTTGAGAATGTGATACAAAGTGTCTCTATCCAATTCCTGAAGCTCAGTGATTCTAAAGATATGGAATGTTAGAGGAACAAAATTCCTATTCAATAATAAGAAATTTATATTTTATACCTTTGAATCTAGACCAAGGCCAGCACGAACCAGTATAATAGATAGGGCTATGCTTCTCAGAGAGGAGGACCACTTGTGCTTGATCTGTACATTATCACTGATGACTGGAATATTTCTGAGGAGAAATCCAGCAAGCAGCATGCCTTGAATGAAGAAGTCAAACAAGAATGAATCAGTTTTCAAATGTAAGACAATATTTTTCAGCATTTTACATGTGAAAGAGACTATTATATAATCTTATGTTTAGTCCTTAGATAAAATTGAGTTAGACTTTTATTTAAAAAAATAAAATGATATGATGAATTAGAAGAGCAAAGAAAGATTTTAATATACACATAAAAAGTAAGATTAAAATAATTACCATTTCTTTTATGGCATTTGCTGGTAAATGGATGGAACTGGAGAATATTATGTTAAATGAAATAATCCAGTTTCAAAGAGCCAAAGGCTAAATGTTTTCTCTGATATGTGGATGCTAATTCACAATAAGTGGTGGTGGGGGGGAGCAGAATAGTGGTATTTTGGACTAAACAGAGGGGATTGAAGGGAAGGGAGGGGTCAAGGGGGTAGGAATAATAGTAGGATGAATTGGACATTATTACCCTATATGCATATGTGATTACATGACCTGTGTAACTCTGCATCATGTACAACCAGACAAACGAGAAGTTATATTCCATTTATGTATGATGTGTCAAAATGCATTCTACTGTCATATATAACTAATTAGCACAAATAAAAAATAAACAATTACTATTTCTCAAATAATTAAAGATAAAAAGGAGAAACAAGATGCAGCTTTTGGCTAGAGATAATAATTAAATCTTAAACATAAAATGTTTCAGTTCAGTGTCAGCTCAGTCATCCCTCTATGTGCGAACAGCAAACAGTTCCTGAAATAACTTGCTATGTCAGTTTACTTGAAATATCAATAAGTACTTACATGGCTTCTATTTCACTTCACACCAGATAACTTAATAACAAATACATAACTCACTTTGCAAAGGCTTTAGGAATTATGCTGAAATGAACACTGCCCTGTCAGTCAGCTGGTGGCTCTTCTTTCAGCCGGCCAATATTTACTGGTTGCCTTTAGTATTTCAGACACTATGTGGGTGTTAGGAATATAATGGACAAGCAGCAGGAATTATACCTCAACAAACTTTCAGCCTCTAGGAAAACAAGACAAACTAACAACCCCAATATTAGGAAAGCATGAAGGGGTGTTGTATGAACTGAGAAAGGGAGGGTGAGCAAAGGGGTCCAGGGAAGGGGAAGGGTCTGCAAGATTGTAAAATGCCTGGAAGAGACACTAGTTTATTCAAAGGTGTCGGAAAAAATGACACATTCTGGGAACTTCACATAGTTGTGACCAACTTGAGTCTTGTAGCTTATGAGGGAATTCTCCCTCATTGATGCCACATGCCCACAGGGTAAAGTTTCTCTGAGACAGATTGTGAGGCTTCTATCCACCATTTTCTCCAGCAGCAGCAGCTTCTCCTCATGTCCTTATAAGCACCACCGTTTGCATGACTAAATAAATTAACTAAAGTTGGGATATTTTATGAGAACAAATTATATGTACACTTTATGACTCGCTACAGATGCCATGATACAAGAATGCACCATTTCTAGGCACCTCTCATTACTGCCATTTAATCTAGTGAGTTCACAATTCTGTAATCATGGTCTTTCTAGAGTTTTTATTGGGTAACAGTGTGAAAAGACCTATGGTGTCTATTTTTTTTTCTTGTGTGTGTGTGTGTGTGTGTGCGCGCGTGTGGTGCTGGGGATTGAACCCAGGTCCTTGTGCATGTGAGGCAAGCACTCTACCAACTGAGCTATATCCCCAGCCCCTATACTATCTGTTTTTAAAAGAAATATTGATAAGAGTAATATGCACATGGTAAAATTAAAACATTACCAGCAAACATAGAGTGGCAGTACTGCCCTACCCTCAATTACAGCCTTCCATTTTCACTCCCCAGTTAATTCTCACAGAATGCTTTCATCACTGCTTGTCAGATTCCTGCATCCCAAACCAAAAATGGTTCCAGTTCAACCAAGATTGGACAAAATCAGATTAAAAAATGCTTACCTACTATCTGATTCCACAAAGAAGTCACATCCCTGGTGAGTGAGTGTAGTGTCACCATGAATATTGGTTGATACTTTTATTTATGTTAATGAGTAAGACAAAAGGGCAATAATAGAAATATATGTTAAAATGTCACTTTTGCCAGGCATGGTGGCACACACCTATAATCCAAGTGGCTTAGAAGGCTGAGGCAGGAGGATCACGAATTCAAAGCCAGCCTCAGCAAAAGCTAAGCAACTCCGTGAGACCCTGTCTCTAATTAAAATACAAAATAGGGCTGGGGATGTGGCTCAGTGGTTGAGTGCCCCTGAGTTCAATCCCCAGTAACCCCCACCTCCCAAATGTCACTCTTTGTCAATGTTGTGAGAGGCTTCCAATACAACAAACCCTGATTTGTAGTATTTACTGGTTTCTGTATTACACATACCTGCAACACAGCCAAATTTTAAGCTACCAACATGCCAGAGATGGGAGGAGATGGCACACCATTACATGATATTTCCATAATCTCAAGAGCACAGATATGGGGAAATTCAGTAAAAGAATTTGGAAGATATCAGTTTTGAGTATTGATTGCTCTTATTCTTTAATGTATGCTATTTAATTGTAATTTTATATAATTTAATTTTAAAAAAATCACCATGTTTAACAACTGGCTCAAAAACTCCTCAAAATTTACCAAATGGTTTTGGGCTATAGCACAGCAAATACAGAAATACATACTTTATTTCTTTATTTCCCAAAGCTTTCCAAAATACTGTTATGAAAATATGATTTATTGGAAGAAAATGGGAAATGTTTAGCACTTACCAAGAAGAGGAGGAAGAGGAGGCAGTGTTGGTAACTTAATGAGCCCAAAAAGTTTACCTCCAATGATGGTAGAATAGAATAGGATTATAATTCCAAATAAGTTTCCTCCAGGAAGACATTCACTGCCAGTAACTGACCAAACTGCTGCCCACAGAAGAACAACCATGGTAACTGAAACAAATCAGGAAAACCTGTTTCTATAAGTAAGTTGTAATAGGCAGGTTTTGAAACAATCTAAAATAATTTTTAAAAATAAACATTGAATGCATAAAAAAAAACCTTTATAGCCATGTGCAAATTATAAAGAACATCAGTAAAATGAGCAATTGGGTAGTTTCCAACCACTTTTAAAAAACAAGATATTACTAATACTTTTGAATCCACCTATGTGGCCCTCTCCAGTCCCATCCATCTCTTTGCACACTGCCAGAAGGAACCACTGTCTTGGATTTTTTTTAAACCCATTCCCTTATTTATTTTATTTTATTTTTTTAGTAATTTTATCACAAATACCAGTTAATACTAAAAAGAACAAAATCACTATCTTTGCCCTCTTCTTAGGAATATGAAATACTTGAACTCTAATCCTACTTCAGTTATCTTAGTTCTGCCTTCAGTTAAACATTACCTTTATTTCTTTTCTACAATCAACATGGACTTAGAATTATGCACATTCTTGCCTTTTTTTTTAAAAAAAAAATCATCATTCATTATAGCATCTCAAATCTTTCATCTAGGACAATTATCCTGATACCTAAACTATTTTCTTTAGTAAATTCATTTCCACTAGAATGTGAAATATGTTTCCAGTTTGAATACAGGTGTTCTATAAAATTACATACTAAAAATAGAAAGGCTCATGAGAAAAACTGAGTTAGGAAAAACTACTCAAAACTTGAAACTTATGACCTAACCACTAACAAAAATGAACACAATCCTAACAAAAGTAATAGCACAGATAAATCTCCACAGACATTTGTATCCCAGGCAGGCACTCTATTCTTTGTACACTTCCTACTTCAAGATGTAGATTCTTGAGGATATTTTCTTTAAATACAAAGCAATTGTATCAAAATCTGATCCATATTGCAGTGCTCTCCTTTAATAAAAAAATTTTTTTAACTGAGGGAAATTTGTTGGCAGAATCTTCATCTGCTTTCTCTCCATGTGTAGTTAGTTGCATTATAAGCTTAATGTTGTGAAACATTTAAAAGTTACTAATGCCCCTAAACCAGTTATTATCTCTATGAAAATAAATCACTTCAACAGGAATTTCAGCTTTTAGAAGGTCCTCTTGTGAAGGAGGTTTAATCTTTAATTGTGAGAATACACATACCTGATCTTTTTGTTTTTTATTCACTTTGACTTCATTTGCTATTGCTTAACAATGCAAAATATTAACATGTGAGGAAAAACATGCACAAACATGCAAATTGCATATTATAGTAACACGATTCCCTATTTACCATTGCATCCATGCTAATTCATGGTGTAGAAACATTCTGTATCAGAACATGCTCTATTTCTTATGACAGTCTTTGGAAGAAAATTGTTAGTTTTGTTGTCTGACATTATTCTTATTTTAAAAGATAGTTTTTCTAGGTATACCTCAGATTTACCTTAAATTGTAAGTGAAGAGTTATTTTTTTCTCAATCCCTTGATAATATTCTTCCTTGGTTTTCTGGCTTTCAATGTTGTTATTCAGTTTAATTTTGGCCCTTTTCCAGAAATTTTTTCCTTTGGTTTGTTTTAAATTTTTTTTTTTTTTTTTTTTGGTTTTCTGTAATTTTTGAATGAAGAATTTAGAATTGGCTTCTTTTTGATGTGCTTAGAATTTATGTTTTTTTTTTTTTAAAAAAAACAATTCTGGAAAATTCTGTCTTTATTTCTTCAAATATTTCTTACCCAACCTCCCTAATTTTTTTTTTGTGAAATTATGATTAGATAGTCACTCTACTTGCTAAGCCTATTTCCATATTTTCCATCTTTGTGTGTACTATAATCTAGATAATCTCTTCAGTTCTTTTTGCTGGTTGATCAATTTTTTTAACTTAATCTGCTGCTTACTCTATCCATTGCTTTTAAAATTTCAATTATTATACTACATCTTTCTAGAAGTTCACATTTGTTCTTATTCAAATTTATATAATTTTAATCGGCGTTTGTTTTGTATTCACATTTGTACTTACTATTTAACTTCTTTAGAAAAATGTTTCAAGGTCTATTTTCTGGCAATGCTTTTTTGGGGGGGGACGGGGGGTGGGTGGTACTTAACCCAGAGCTTCTCATATGCAGGCAAGCACTCTACCACTAAATTACATCCCTAATAATTTGAAAATTTTATTTTGAGATAGGTTCTCACTAAATTGTCCAAGCTGGCCTGGAATTTACAATCCTCCTGTCTCATCATCTTATGCAGCTGGGATTACAGGTGTGTGCCACCATATCTGGCTAGTAATGCACACTTTTGAAATCTCTGTTTTGTTTCCTTTTTGGTTGCGATTTCTTATTCCCCAACAGTGAATCTCCCTTGAACTCCATCTGTGGTTTTGCTGAAGCCTTAGGCTAATGTGAGTTTTCCCAGAAGGGATCTGAATTTGCTTCTACCATGTGCTTTCAAGTTTACAATCCAGGACTACTTTTAAGTGTATATTCAGATTGAGTTTTTCTTCTTTGAATTTGGAGCACAAATAAGGGTGAAGTTACCTTCTCCCTCCTTCTCTCCCTCCCTTCCTCTCTCTCTCCCCCTCTTTTTCTTTCTTTTTTAGTGTACTTCACCTTAATCCACACACAGACATACCGACTAGCAACCACAATTTAGACAGGTAGCAACCACAATTTAGACAGGTTTGGTTGCAGGCCCCATTGACAAAGCAGGTTTACCTGAAATCCACCATCACTTTGGGTTCCAGTTTTATGTGGGTGAAGGAGAATCATTTCTCCTGTTACATGTCTCCCACCCCAGGTAGGCTCTAGCTTGGCTTCCTGTGCTCTTGTGGATCTCAAAATCATTCTCAATTTCACTGGGGTTTGGCAGAAACCTCTAGGGTGAAAGTTGGCTTGAGTCCTTACTTACCTTTCCTACTTACATTTCATTTTTGGTTTCTGATAATTGCTTGTTTTCTTGATAGATCAAAGGTATGTGAAAAAGGCTTAAAATATTTTTGAGACATTTCCTTTAAGTGATAGGATTGTTCATTGGATCTTGTGCATATTGTGATTTTATAATTTGTCTAGAGACTAAATCCAATGTTTTTTTTGTAAATCCTCATAGAATTGTTCTAGATTTTCTAGGCTTGTTCCAGATTTTCTAGACATAGTGTTGCAATAAATGATATAATGAAATAACTAGAAGCCTTAAGTATTTTCCAATTGACTACAAGGGCTAAAATTATTATGCAATATTAGAGAGAGACTGAGAAACCACAATATGGCAGCAAATAAATCCTACTTTGTCATAGCATAAACCCAACTTTATACTAAATTCAGCAAGACAGAATTAAGAGAACTTTTTCCACTTTAAAATCACTTTTAAAAAAGACTCTAGCCAGACATGGTGGCACACCTCCATAATCTCAGTTATTTGGGAGGCTGAAGCATGAGGATCACAAGTTCAAGGCCAGCCTCTGCAATTTAGCAAGGCCCTAAGCAATTTGGAGAGACCTGTCTCAAAATAAAAAATAAAAAGGGCTGGGGATATGGCCCTGGGTTCAATCCCTGGTATGGAAAAAAAATCTAACTCTCCTTTCCTTTTCCATATTGGAAAAATTTATACACAAAAATGCAAGTTCCATATCACACCGACAGGACTCCCGATTTACCATTGCGTCTGAGCTAATTCATAGTGTAGAAACAGTCTGTATCAGAAAATGCTGTATTTCTTTTTTTTCTTCTTCTTTAATATTTTTTTAGTTGTCAAAAGACCTTTATTTTATTTATTTATATGCAGTGCTGAGAATCAAACCCAGGACCTAACACATGATAGGCAAGCGCTCTACCACTGAGCCACAACCCCAGCCCAACATGCTGTATTTCTTATGAGGGTCTTTGGTAGTAAATTGCACCACTTTACAAGTGATAAATATAGTTGGACATAGCAAATGCACATTCATAAGCTTCTCTAAATCATGTTTAAATCAGTTACTAATTTATTTCTTGTTCATGCTTTTTAGAAAATGATATTTTTACATGTAAGATTTACTTCTTAGGAAGAATGCTTTTATATACCTAATGAGTGCAGGAAAAAATAAAGAATAAAGTAATCTTGTAAAACAAGTGATGAGGTTTTTAATCTACTGTGACCCCCATTTTTCAGGCAGCTTTATGAACAATGATAATATACTTTGTTAAAAAAAAAAGGCAATCAAAATCACATCCTTCATTTTCACTCTTACGACAATCTGAATCTGTTTAATTGTAAATGTTTTAACAGAAATGTGCCTTAGTTTGAATGGTGTTTTGGTCAGCATTTTGCTGCTGTGATTAAAAGACCTGACCAGAACAACTGTAGAGGATCTAAAGTTTATTTGGGGGCTCACAGTTTGAGGTCTATGGCCTAAATCCATAGACAGCAAGCTCCATTCCTTGGGGCTCAAAGTGAGGTAGAACAACAGGGTGGAAGAGTATGGTAGGAGGGAAGCCGCTCACATGATGATCAGTTAGCAGCCAGAGAGATTCCACTTGCCAAATACAAATATATATCCCAGAGCCACGTCCCCAGCGCCCCGCCTCCTCCAGCCACAACTCACCTTTCTTCAATTACCACTCAATCCCATCAGGTGATTAAGTCATTGACTGGTTAATGCTCTCAGTTATTTCTCCTCTAAACCTTCTTGCATTGTCACACATGAGCTTTGAGGGGACACCTCATACCCAAACCACAACAAATGGTAAAAGTTAAAGGTATTAAATTATCTGTGCCCTTATTAGCTAGTGCATATTTTGGGATGTGATTTTCTCTATGTGTTTTAAATAAACTTTCATATTTTCTTCTGAGATAGTTCAGAACCTGACTTGATTTCATTAAAAACATATCCAGAGCCTAAAGTATAACTTATTATACTTGGCTTTTGCTGTCAAATGAAAATGATGAAAATATTTTTCAGAGTTCCCAAGTGAAGAATAGCTATAAAGAATTGAGCCTCATTTTTTTCAGTGCACATAATCTATGTGGGTAACCACATATTTATTACAATAAATGACATTTCCCAGCACAATTTAATTTTTTTTTCTTTTTTATTATTTGTTTTAGTTGCCAATGGACCTTCATTTAATTTATTTATATGCGGTGTTGAGAATTGAACCCAGGGCCTCACACATGCTAGGCAAGTGTGCTACACTGAGCCACAACTCCAGCCCTCAACACAATTTTAAAAACTATCTTTAAATCTGCCTTTTTAGACACTTTTCTAGCCTCGTCTCCTTTTACCTCCTATATTGCATGTTCCTTAACATTACCTCCAAACATACTTCCTTTTTGAACACAAAAGGCATCACTGAATCAAACTGATAACGAATGATCAAATTGATAACAGAGTGATCTTTGGCTGCCTCCAAAAACCAAAACCATTTCTAAAAGACAAATATATCCCAATTTTAACAATATTCAAAATGGCGTTAAGATTAATGCTCTGCCCCCCAAATCCTCAAAGTATTTTAAGTAATGGCAGCCCTGCTACAACATGCTGAATTGCAACTCAAGACCTTACTCATGAAATGACAGGGGACCTGGCTCGGGGCAAAGCACTTGTCTACCAAGCATGAGGCCCTGAGTTTGATCCCCAGCACCGCAAAAAGGAAACAAAACAAAACAAACAGAAACAAGCAAAAACCCTTAAAACAAATAAAAATAATGAAGATTCACTTGGAAGTATAAATTGTGTTTGCTCAAATATTAGTTGTATTACTTTAACAATAATAACAATCAATGCCATCTATAAGCAATTTCTGTAGCTCTAAAGTAATTTTATAAAATTATTCAAATATACAGATGGAAAAGTTTCTCAGTCTCTGTTCTTTTCTCTTTCCCACTCACTGGAATGGTGGTGACCACAGTGATTTTGGAAGCCTCAGGTTGAAGATGATGGAGCCTTGTGAATCTGGTCCTTCAGTGACTGCAGAACTGAGTCACCTACCACTGTGAAGTGTTTGCCTACTAGTTTTTATGTAAGAGAGAAGTAAAGTTCTTTTTGTTCTTAAACCATATGATTTTTGGAATCTCTCAGTGCAACTTCATCTTTTACCCTCTCTTTCTGAATCTATTCTTATTACACACATACCATTTGTTATGATTCTGTCCAGTAAACCATGTGGAGGGCAAGCCAATATCTGTCTCAGCCTCTGCAAACCACTTGATTCAGTTGGTATTTCTTGTAGCTTTTTTTCACTGCTGTGTAACAGGTTGCTTCCTTCTGTTGGTTCATTTCCATCTGTACCTTTAAGGTTCATGACCGTCTCTTCCTGTATTTAAAGCAATTTTTAAAAATCCTTAATATGGTATCTTTCTACACAGGTTTATAGTTACTCATTCATCACATTACAAATCAAATTGCCTTTCCTAGAATCAAGGATAGTTCCTTGTAAGGAAAATAAATTTCATGACTAGCTAATTAGTGGATGGAACAAGATCAATATTAGGAGTGTTTACCACTAAGTCACTATTTTTAGATGTGTGCCAGCCTTAGGTGAGGACAGCTACTGATGACCTTAGTAAGTTGGGAAAACTAGCAGTCACACCTACCCTGGACTGTTATGTTTAGGGATTAAGAAAGGGAGAGTTATTAACTGAGTAGTAGAAATTAAGGAGAAACCTGTGTGTGTGTGTGCGTGTGTGTGTGCATGTGTATGTGTGTGTGTGTGTGTGTGCATGTGTGTGGGTAGCAGGAGTACTGGGGATTTAACCCATGGCTTGGCTACTGGTAGGCAAGTGCTTTACCACTGGGCTACATCCCAGACCTTTTTTATTTTTATCTTAAGACAGGATCTTGCTAAATATAAATAGCCTAGGCTGGCCTTGAACTGTGATCTTCCTTCCTCTCAGCCTCGGGAGTTGCAGGGATTACAGGTGTGATACACCATGCCTCCAAGGAGAATGCAGTTGTAGCAGAGCTTGGTAATACATAATCCCTTCCTTAAAGGAATGGCTAGGATTTTCTACATTTGATTTCTACAGTAATTTTACCTGTGTTTCTTGATACACAGAAGTTGTATGATTCATCCCTGTGGATGGTTCTGAATCTTGACATTCAATTGTTTTATCTTTATCCCCCATGATTTGTAGTTATGAAGAAGATAATACAAAGAAGAGGAACAAGATCTATTCTGAAAGAGAAACAATAATTTGAAAATCTATTTATTTCTTCCCTTAAGACTCTGCAAGGCTAAAAGTAAGTTAGACTCTTCTTAATTTCCAATTGCTGATCTCTTCTTTGATTCCAATATACTGTCTTCATTCTTATCTACCCTTTTACCTCTCTGAAAAAAAGTGCTTGTTGAACCAATCACATTTTTCTTTCCCACCCTATTTTTTGAGTTATACTTCAAAACATTCTGAGCAATATCACTATTAAATTGTTCTCTTTAACAGTCCAACTCAATGAAGCAGGAAAGTCCCAAGTAATTTTCCAATGTTGATATGAGGAATGAGACACCAGGGGAGTTCTCCAGATTCCATAATTTTCAGAGAAATCAGTCACTAATTCCTGTCTGGTTCTTATTTCTAAATTAAAGTTAAAAATACAATACCAGAGGCTGGGTTTGTGGCTCAGTGGTAGAGCACTTGCCTCATACATGTGAGGCTCTGGGTTAAATCCTCAGCACGACATAAAATTTTTAAAAAGGTGTTTTGTCCATCTACAACTAAAAAAGTATTTTTAAAACTACAACACCAGTGACTGAGTAACCACAGTATCTTAGACACTGTGATAAGCGCTATGGTAGCCACTTGCTAGTCATGTGGGCAATTTGTAGATTACAAAACACTTTCTTTGGCTCTCCATAGGTTTGCAGTATACCAGGAAAGATAAAATTATACCAAGAAACTAAAAATATCTGTAAGGAAGACTACAGGTTGGCTCAATAAACACCCACTATAACCCCTTTTCCCTGGTTTGCTATTATAGAGGGAGAAAAGCCAAACATTCCAATTCTTAGCCACTTGCAGCTAGAAGTGGCCACATGTCACAGTTACATCCATATAAATGAAATATAGGTGGGAGTCCCTGGGAAGACCTTTAGAAGATCAAACTTTTTTATTCTTTGTCCTCTAAATTTCCTCTTCTTCTTCCAAGAATGTAGATACAATGCCTGGAAGATCAGCAGACATCGTTTAACCATGAGAATAAGGATTTGTAATCAGGATAGCAGATGAGACAGATAGGAAGAGCTGATTGCTTGAGAACCTCTTGGAGTTGCTGCACCTGTCCTGTACTGCCGAGCTTTGAGGTAATCTTGTAAGCCACTGTTACTCAAGGTTTCTTTTTCCTAGTAACCAAACTTATTCCTCCTGTCAGAAGAACAATGTGTATCACAATAAAGATACAGAGTACAAACTTTGGTAGAACCAAAGAGAAATTATTTAAAAGAAGGAAAAATCTAATTCATCGTATCTTTGAGTGCCTCTTATGTGCCAGACATGCTGAGCTGTGAGGACAAGGATAAATTAGACAGGACTGCTGCCTCGAGGAACCATCTCAATTTAACACACTACCAGGACATCTGCATTTAAAATTTCAAAGAACATTATAATTTTATATCACCACCACCACCACCATTTTTTTCCTCTTTACAAAATAATGCTAATCAGAGTGGTACCTAAAAAAGTCTTAAGTTTGACTTTTATTCTATATGATATAAAATAAACATGTATGGGTGTGTTTATAATTTTCTAAATTTAAAGATGTTAATGAAGAAAGTCATTTAAACAAGAAAATGTTGGGCTCAGGGAATACTTGTTTTAAAGATATAGAGGAAGGAAAACTGGTGGGGTGTAAGGGGAAACTTTGCTGGAGCCTGTGGTAGGAGATTAAGAGTACTGGGGCATGAGATTAGAGTTAGGATATCACATCCCAAACCACAGCATTTGCCCGTAGCTTTCTGAAGACAATGATCCCTCATCTCAAGGTAAGGGATGAGATCTGCTGGCTCTGGAGTTGGAAAAAGTTAGATCTGAATTTCAGCTCCATCATACACTAAATTGCTTAGCTTCTTTTTGACTAATTCCTGATCTATAAAAGAGAGACAAGAATAGTTCTAACTATGCATATGGTAAGCATTCAATAATGTTGGTTTTTGTTCACGACTTAATACTCCATCTTTACTATTCAGATGAGCATATTAAAGTTTACAGAAGATAAATGCCTTTTCTCAAATAACATCCAATATTAACAAATTTTAAAACTGTACAAACATTTGTGAAATGAGATGGTTCTTTTGAAAAACCAGCCTCTACCTCAGAGCAAAGCCTGTCCAAGGAAGCGGGCATAACCCTTGTCCTTGACAACACCCACAGAGCATTCCTAGGCACATACCCACCCTGCTGAGTTGTTTGTCTGCAAATAACAAGAGAGATCTGTGATGCCAGGTGTCCCTGACTCAGTCAGGCTAGGTGGGGACCCATAGCAACCCCCTAGCAGCCACCAAATAGCATAAGACCAGGAAAATACCTGGGATGCCAGATGACCCTCCCAGTAGTTTATGGTGATTGATAACATACTGGGAAACCATGTAGTTCAGCACGTACTCCTTTCCTGGCCTAAACCAATCACTTCAAACGAATCCCCCTCTTGTACTAACCAATCACCCTTACCCAACTTGTTCCCGCCAGTGACTGTGCTAATCATGTTTTAAAGTTGTTGTTTGATTTTCCCGTGGTGTGTGATGATTTGCTAAGAGATGCTATGATGTATGTGAAGTCCCTGCCTTCCCCAAAGAGTGTATAAAACTGCTGCAAACCCTGGGCTGGGGCCTCTCAGCGTCACCAATTGCTGTGTGTGTGGAGGACTGAGCTAGCTCGCAATAAACACCTCTTTGCTGCTTACATGGATCTTGGTCTCTGGTGGTCTTTTGGGGGTCCCGAATTTGAGCATAACAGATGGGGACTCGTCCGGGATCCCCCTTATAACCCTACTCAAACACCCCGATAGAGAGGTGATGAAAACCCGGCCGGTAAGTAAAGGCATTGCCGATCTGTAAGTTTCTGTACTCCGGTTGCCTGCAGGTTCTGGTTCTGTGTTGTGTGGTCGGCAAAAGGTCCAGGTGTACGCACCAAAGGGCAGCCGACGGGGTTTGTGGGAGACGTCCCCAGCCCCTTCTGGGTTCTGAGTGGATTGCCTTTAGTAAAGCATTTTGTGAAGTATTTGGTAAAGTATTTTGTAGCTGACGGATCCGCGGTGTGCCTCTGCTTTTAGTTTCTGGGTAGCAATCCACGGTGCACTGCGAATTCTGTGGCTGCGCTGTGAATTTTGTGTTATGTGTGTTTTTTTCTATTGTCCTGTCCACCTCCACCCCCAACACCCTGGCAAGGGAACTAATCTCCCAATCTGGGGCCGTCAGACCCAATCTGAGGGGGATACTTCCCCAATCTGTTTGTCTGAAGGGAAGGCCCCAGTTGGCTTGGAGCTGGCACCCCACTTCAGTTTTTGTTGACAATCTGAAAAGGGAATCTATGTCTTTGTGTGTCTTTTTGTTTATGTCTCTGTTAAGTGTGATGGCATCGTTTTACTTTGGACAGATGCAGTGTCCCAAGTTCTGATCTGCCTTAGAAGTGTGGAGGTAACTTTAGCTAAATTTTAGCCTGAAAATGTCCCTGGTATTCTTCTCCTGCTTCCCTGTAAGGGACCAAAAGTCAATAGAACCGCCAGATTTTCTGTTCTCATGTTTTACACCCCTTTTAGCTGTGTTTTAAAGAACTTTGATAAACTTTGTTCTCCTTTGTTAAATGGGACTAGGGAAGCAATATTTTCTTTTCTTCCCGTAGTTGGCTTGAGTGCACCCACTGCAGAGGGAAATGCCTGCTGGGGATCTAAGAACTGAATATCTCTCTTTTTCTTTTTCTCAAAACCCTGTCCTTATTATTAAATTGACATCAATTGGTTTCGAGGACAGGAACCGAACTTTCAGTCACAAATTTTGGCACCTCAGAGGGACTCTAGAGGAGCCCCCGCTCTGCTTTCTTGGGGAAGCCTAGCACTTGAAACAACTGCAAGCGGAGGATTAACTTTTGAGAGCCGGCTACTGGAAAGTTAGGAGATATGCCAGCGTGCCTGGGATCAGACCTAACCAAAGGAGCTAATCCTGTAAGTAAAAGGAGGGACTGAGGGACTCCCAGCAGCTGCCGAAGCTCCTTTTGCTTTGGGGAACTCCCTCCTTCCTTCCCTGCACTGTAAGGATTGCTCCATCTCTGTCTACTTAAAAAGAAAAGGGACACTGAATGCAGTAAAATCGCCACACGGAGACCCTTGATTTTACACTTCTGGTTTCCCCTCTGTGAGAATGTCTGGTCCACTGGGAGAACATCTGGTTCCCCTCTGTGAGAACATCTGGACATCTATGGTGCCACTGGTGTGGGAGTCATAATTAAATGGGAGTTAGAAACTTAGGGAGATTTTTCTCTTATCTGGTCAGTTTTAAAAGTTCTTGTCTGTCAGCCATAGTCTGGAGCTCCCTTCAGTCTGTCTGTCCTGTGTCTTTTTTTGGTATCTGTTTCTGGCCCTTTAAGACATGGGCAATAATGTGTTGATATCAACTGTGGGGTTTTTAAACATTGCAATGGAGATTTCACCAGCTACAAGGCCTTTACTATGATGTTATGTGTGCACAGTTGTGTTAAGTGTTGTCAACAGATGAAAATAATGATGTCTTTATGAACATTGGCAGATATATAGAGCACTCATGAAAAATTTTTAAAAAATGGATTCAAATATCTTTGATTCACATGATTTAAACAGTTCAACTTAAATTGGGTACACAGATGAAAGTAAAGATGTCTTTAAAATTAAGCTTATAAGTTTTTCCTAGGTGATAAAAAAAAACTAATAAAATGTTGATGTCTATGAAATAATCTGCCTAAATTCAGAAATTTACAAGGATTGTTTCAGAGCAGATTATGCTTAGTGAAGCTAGCCAATCCCTAAAAAACAAATACCAAATGTCTTCTTTGATATAATGAGAGCAACTAAGAACAGAGCAGGGAGGAAGAGCAGGAAGAAAAGATTAACATTAAACAGATACATGAGGTGGGATGGAAAGGGAGAGAAAAGGGAAATTGCATGGTAATGGAGGGAGACCCTCATTGTTATACAAAATTACATATAAGAGGCTGT